ATGGTTGTGGTAGGAAACGCGTGAGAATAACAGGACTAGCCGTTGGGGAGTTTTCAAGTACCATAAGTGAAGTACCTACCTGCATATCTGTCGTTGTGCTACAGTTTACTTATACCATCTCTTTTCCATCACCAACTGAAACGTTTGCACCTTCCGGTGCTACACAGGTATGTCTCTTTTTGGGGGGTTTTATCCGGGAGATCTTGTTCAAGGCATTTGATGAAAAATTATCACTTTAGATTCCAATGATAAGAAACTACTTTTTATAGGGCAGACCGTTAGTAATAAACTGAGAGTTTGTTTGCATGTAATTTGGCAATGGACATGCCGACTGAGATTTCTAACATTTTGAACATCCTCGACTTAAGCAAAGAAATTCACACTGTGAACAATTGAATTGTATGCGCGGGCAGTAGCTAGAATCTCTTCCCTACAGATAATGTGGATTTCATCCCCTAATAATGCACAATTTCTCTTAATACGAATTTCACGTTTTATAGAAAAAAAAAATATAAKAATAATGAATAACAACATAATCACTTAGTACAGTAAGACCCGCTTCCATATCTCCCAATGAAGTATGGAAAAGGCAAATCCTCACTGAGCCTCACTATGGTAGTTCTGTTTTCGTTTATTTTTAATATACTATTGCACTCTCATCCCATCCCAAAACCTTCTTTATATAGGTCAATGTTCCAAAACCTGAAATCCTACCCGATGGAAAGCGTATTGGAAAGAGTGATAGTCATGTGAACCTTCAAGACTTCCAGAAATGGGCATCAAAAAGACTTCAGAGGAAACGAGTTCCGACAGYTAAACGMAAAGGGACGAAAATTCCTACCGATGTCCCGCCTCCTCTTGGAAAGCGTGGCCGAATGGGCGATCGTCATGTAATCCCACAATATCTCAAGAAATGGGTATCAAAAAGACTTCAGAGGAAACGAGTTCCGACAGCTAAACGCAAAGGGACGAAAATTCCTACTGATGTCCCGCCTCCTCTTGGAAAGCGTGGCCGAATGGGGTTGTTTAACCTTCAGGTTGTTTTCACGCATCCTCCACTTCTTCCTTTTGTATTTTTTTGTGATTTTTACTGAAGTTGTGTTGTGTTGAGCACAAATCCCCAAAAATTGCGTTGTAACTTATTCGAACAAACCTTAGTTTCCCGTTGAATCGTTCTTCGTGTTTAATCTTTTTATATATTTTTCAACAGATAAGCTAAAGCAAGACAAGATTACAGGCTATTAATTACAAAAGCTGTTAATTATCAATAAAGAAAAAGAAAAGTTTTCTGAGTTTCTTTTCTTATTAATTAGTGCAATGCTACTGAAGGTATATTTTCTCAATGCAAGAGAAAATTGTGACATTTGCTTTTTTCAAAGACAAGCAGCAAATGAATTCCATTTTTTGTCCAAGGTTTAACGTTGTAGGCTTAGAGTGAAGTCGAAAAAAACCGTGAAATAGATATTATGCAAACACACCTCAGTTCGCTCTAACTTCATTATTCTCTTTTTGTCTATCTGATAAGAACACTTTAACAGTCATATTTTATGAAAGCAAATTATGTCGGAAAATACCTTTTTCTTACTTCCACTACATATAGAGAAAGCTCGAATGTCATTATTTTCACCAGTGAAAATAACAACTTTACGAAAACGGAGAAATATAGGTATTTCATAGATAATTATATGACAAATCAGGTTATCACACGTAGAAATCTGATCAAAAAAATATTGCATATTACAGAGAAATCAATTAAATTCTTGTCACAGATCTCATAACCATTGTCAAATAAGTCGAAAGTAAGTTACAATATGATGTACTATATGTCATACTATGTCCTGTAATATATAAATAAGAGCTAGTCTCTTTTACACCGTCAGTTTTAACTTAAACCTTCACTCCTGAACAACATGGAATCTTTCCGTTTCGTAGCAATCTTGCTTGTTTTATTTGTCTTTACTAAGTCTACTGCAGACGAGTTCAATATACCAGAAGATTTTGAAAGTCGGGGTGCAAAGGATGGGAAACCTATTCCTATAGATGTAGTGCCCCTTCCTCCTATGGGAAAGCGTGGCCGAATAAGCGATCGTCACGTAATCCCTCAAAATTTCCAGAAATGGATATNTGTGGTCCTGGTTGGATTCCCGGTCCGGGAGTATATGTGATTTAAGTTTGTAAGCTGGTTCTCTCCCTTGCTCCGAGAGTTTTTCTCCAGGTCCGCTGGTTTTCCTCCCTCAGTCAAAAACTAGCTGTGAGGAGTGTCGTGTAGTAAAACAATGAATGTAGAGGTAGCGAGTGTGAGTGAATATACAGAGGGCCACAAGTTTACTAGTCTAGAGACTATTACGTGTTACCCTCTGAAAATAAAATGGTTTATTTTCTTTTTCTATTTATAGTCAGAGCGCACTAATATTGATCAAATGATATGAATTTATCACTTAGTTCCTATAAGAACAAGATAGTAAATGAAATCTTCAGTGTTTTTTGTCTTCGTTTGAATTCCCAAAAATTAGATTGTAACTTATCTAAACAAACATTTCCTGTCAAATTGTACTTCGTGTTTAATCTTTTTATATATTTTCCACCAGATAAGCTAAAGCAAGACACGATGACAGGGAATTATCTTTAAAAACTGTGAATCATCACTGAAAGAAAAATTCTAATGCTATTTGGTACTTCTCTCATTAGTGTAATGCTATCAGTCCTACTAAAGGTATATTTTATGAATACTTGAGAAAACTAAGATTAGCTGTTACTGATTCAACAACCACTGGGAAAAATCGCGCGCTTTGAAGGTTGTAAATTTGATGCAAATATGATGTAAGTGTCCAAAATTCTGATAATTTGATGTAAATGATTTCCATCATATATTTATATCAAATTTACAACATTTAATGCGCGCGATTTTTTTGTCGCGAAATCAATTCCAGTTTGGGTTCAAGGTTCAACGATGAAATTCTTAAGGCYGATTTAMACRGTACGATTATCGCATGCGACATACGATTCAGCCGTGGTTCAAAATCTTACTACAAGTCGTAGGTTGCGTATGACTGTTGTAAACAAGTCGTAGGGCCAACGACGCGATTTAGAGCTCATTTAAAATAGTCGTATACCAGGCGCGTAGAGTGGACTTTTTGGCTAGTACGCACATCTCAGGGACCCCAACATATACTTTGGATCTGGGGGTTCTAACGACAGCCAAAGGCGGGAGTATTACGGGAGTCTGGAATAACAACTCTTGGAAATACGATTTCTAGCGTTTTGAGAGACATCGAGGGCATATAAAAGGAATCAATTTTATGTGAGTTTTTCAGTAATTTTTGTAAAAATTCCTTGTCAGTACGCACGTGCGTATATGCGTAAAGGACGCTACGTGTCTGTATACTGCAAGTCGCATGCGACAATCATGTTATGTAAAAAGATGAATTTAACACCGTAAAAAAGTATGTGAAATAACTTACTGACGTTTCGGACGTTAATCCTTACTCCGACGAAGGATTGACGTCCGAAACGTCAGTAAGTTATTTCACATACTTGTTTACGGTGTTAAATTTATCTTTTTACATAACTGTTTCTTTAGAAACACCAACGCATGCAGTTCACACTAGTTTACCGCTAGCTTCCACCATTTTGCATGCGACAATCGTTTCGTGTCAATTGCCTTTTTATAGAGCGAAGCTAAAATACCGGAGAAAGGTAAAATTCGCCTTAGTTCTCTCTAATTACATTGTT